AAAACCCTCGACGATTTTTATTTATTTTATTTTTATTTTTTCAGGGATAGTGATGCACCCTTATATATAAATATATGAAAAATAAAAGTGAGTGATGTTTATACGTTCTCTAAGTTTTAAACGAAATTATGCTAAATAACTCACTAAATATTTGCGCAGGTTGATTACAGCCCGGCTGGAAAGCGCCTCCACCATTCGGATAGAAATCTACGACACCAATCGGTTGCTTGTACCCCAAAATACCCGCACAGGTGTGTATGACATCAACAAATTCAGTATCGGTTACATCGAGATGATTCTCAGGACCAGTGCTGCCCTCAAAAGCGGGACGTGCGGGAACCAAACCTACATAAATACGCAAATGCATACATACAGGGGCGGGAAAATAAATACGGACGCGACATTTTAACAAATTTTTGCTATTTTGCTTTTGTTTATTTAACGTTTATTGTTTTTTTTTTGAGAATATAGCTCGTTGCAAAAAATTCAGTAAGTCTGAATTTCAAACTTTGTACAAAAATTTCGAAATTTCGGCAAAATTTTAAACTTTTTAATCAGAATTTTTAGTAAAATTTGTAGTATGCATTAAATTTTAATTTAATAAATTGCAAGTTGCATTAAATAAAAATAATAATAAATAGCCAAAACTTGTTAAAATGTCGCGTCCCTATTTATTTTCCCGCCACTGTACATGTGCAATTGAAATCTACAGGCGTTTCTCTCGCAATCGATATGCTCCACTACGCACCGGTAATACGTCCAACGCGATATTTCGTATACGAGCCAGCATAACCCATTATATGCGCCCCCAAACTGTGTCCTATCAAATGTATGCTCTTCGGATCGGCATCTTTCTCTTCCACTAGCAAATCAATTAATTGCGCCACTGCTCTACCCACTTGTACAGTATAACGCGCCGGTTCAAGATAGTAAATATTATCCGCTTGATCGCTCCAATTTATAGCGAATACATTCACATTACCACGTTCGGTGTAAGCGTTGCGTATAGTTTGTATGGAATTACTGTGTGAACTCGACTTCCAGCCATGTACCAAAATTTTCGTATTTATATCGGGTTTAAATCTATCGGCTAGCTCCTCCCAGGTCTCACGTTTGCTTCGGCGAGTGGTATTCGTCGTGGGGCTTTCGAGTAGCGAAAAAGCGGCCGTTAATGGTTTGTCAGGGTTCGAGCTGGTGAGTAAAAGTACATTGGTATGCAGTAAATATGAGCAAAAATGTGGGATGAATGATTGTAGAGCGCGCTAGTGCATATCTATCATAAAATTCAAATTGTATAAATTCGGATATTTCACTACGATCGTGTTCAGCTGGCGGTTCAACCAAATAAGCCACTTCCATTTCACCCTCGCCGTTGGGCTATACATCCAAGTCTTGTTGTAGTCCTCATCTCTAAGTTCCACTTCGGTGTGCGCTACAGCTGGGTGCATCAAAATTATTTAATAGTAAAGATCACGCTTGTTGTTTCTTTCATCACTTACCAAAAGCAATTAGGTACACAGAAATTCTTAGGATCCAATTCATACTTTCACCATAAAAACGAAAAACATGTTGAACATTTGAGCTTAGGTTTTAACTGTTCAAGCCTACTTTTTCAAACGCTTAAATACATTTTGGTTGGCTTTGCATTACTTCGTTGTAAGTTTTTGCTTGGTGGCGGCATATCTACGCACTTATCGTTGAAAAGAAGGTTCAAAGGGTTCATAGCACTTTTCAATTGCATTTTCGTAATGACTATTTAGCATTTAAATGTTTATGGCTTGATTGTGGATAGCAAACATCAATCAAATGTCAACGTAGTCCATTGCAAACGCTTTACACTGCACTAAAATTAGTTAGAAGCGAATGTTGCATTCAGAAAGTGCATTTATCAAATAAGATGGCGGGTGGGCAACGCTGTTAAATATGTATAGCATTCCCTACGCGCGGTACAAGTGAAACTTCATAGAAAAAAAATCCATAAAAAAGAGAAGTTCCCAATGCATTTTAGAATAAATTTCTTTTGGCCTTTGTTGTTGTTGTGTTTGTAGCGGCACTACTAAGCATCGTCTAGGTTGGTTTGTCCATCAATCATTGTCGTCAAGCTCAATTAACGGTATCCTTAGGAAACTAGCCGTTTCGACGTGGTTAGACTAGAGGGAAAGAGGTGTTAGCTGGGCAAGCTCGAGTTCACATATGAAGAGGTTTATGGTTTCATGGGGGTTGTCTCCACATGCCGGACACTCGTTGGAGATGTCGGGGTTGAGTCTGAATAAGTAGCCGTTTAGGTAGCTGCAATATCAAGACCATAGTTGGACTAGAATGACGCGTGTCTTACGTGCAAGTCGAAACTATGAGTCTGCAACAGCTGTAGATTGGACTCTTATCACGGAATTCATAGGTCAGCCCCTCTGAGTGCCATTGATCACTCGTCGATGCATCATCGGGCCAGTGGTTGGTCGATGTAAGTTTGGACCGCGTGCATATACTCGAAAAGATGCCTTCTAACGTAACTGGGTCCTCCACCCAAACATGGTCCCTTACAGGGAACATTTGGAACTCGTTATGTCATACATATATACATAAATAACGCTGAAGTGAATCAGAAGGCATCCTGTTGCTGTTCGTCCACTGCGTTCAACTAGTTCCCTGCGATCAAACAGGTGCCACATAATTCATAACCGGGGACGCATAATTCGGCCGATTGCCTCGTTTTTTGAATCTTTACCCCAGGTGCTGCCGGCGAGCGACTTGAGGACCTTGTTGCGGCTCTGTACTTTATTGCTAATTGCGGTTGTGTGTGCGGAAATGGAGAGCAGGCTGTCAAAGGTAACCCCAAAGATTAGATAGTTACTAAAATATGTCAGTTTTAGAATTTTTCAAAAGTGCCAAAGTCAATATTTGATTTTTCCAATTTTTTATACCAATCTACCTTCTTCATCGCCCTGTAACCGCCTAAATGATTTTGGCCGAATCCTATAAAGCAAGGCTTTCCTATGCCTCCACGATCACCAGCGCGTACCGCTTCGAGAACTTTTAATGTCGGATTGCTAGCGTTCATTATTGTAACAGCGTAAAAGTTCTCCAAAGAGCCTTTGGGAATCTGCTTGATGATAGTCTGGCTCTGTTCCGTTGTTTCGGTGATCTAACCCTGTTTAGGTAGGCGAAATCTTTTGAACTTTGTTCATCCAAGGGGCAACATCTGCTCAGGGCTGGCATCGAATCAAACCCTGAACCAGAAACCTACACCTGCTGCGTATGCCAGAGGCGGTTACACCCAAAATCCACCTCATTCAGGCGCAATACCTACTCTGGTGGAGTCACCTCAGAAGCTGTCCAGGTCTTAGAACTCACCGGCGGTGGATCACATCATTCGTGGTCTCATGCTACACCAACCGAACCGCCTCCACCGCACACCACAGTTCAGCTGAGCAACACAAAACTAATTCGACCACCCCAACAGAGCACAGCCATAGAAAGGCATACCACAGACACAACCACACCCCCACCAACACCCCGCCGCCAACAGCGCATAGTTCCTCATACAATCTACTCGATGTGTCAGTCCAGGATATACCGTATCGTGACATCAGTCAAGTGCCTTGGCTGGTTCCACTTTAGGGCGTGTTCAGGACTGCTCACGACGTGCGATTGGGCGAGCAACTTTGTGGGCCCTAGTTGTACTATACCATCGCAAACCCTCTGCGACGCTGCCCACTACCACCACAAGGAAGCATCCCCAACAGCAGCACACACATCAATTGGCCGGCAGGCAACACCACAAATCTCTCACGCCCTATATTGCGATGTCTCACAAGGCACCCCAAGATTCTACAGTTCAAATGCAACGGACTTCAGAGCAATATTGAGGAGATAACCGACTTCATGGATCGACATGGATTATTGATAGCTGCGGTCCAAGAGACGAAGCTGCACAGCAACTCAACATTGTTGAGCTGCGCTGTATAGAATGTGCACCGCCAAGAGCGGGAGCGAGGTAATGGTGGGTGTGGCACAGCGTTATTCACGCACCACATCGTCGACAGCAGGGATACCATTCTGGAATGTCATTGCTCTTCGGCCCGGCGATGTCGACCTCGAAATATTTGGCGTATATACATATACCCTCTGTCACCACCTTCCCTGAAATAGCTGCGCCATCAGAGGTGAAAACCGTATAGAAGTTGGAGACTTCAACACGCACCACGATCTTTGGCATTCAATCTGAGCGGATAGACGATTCGACATTAGGATTATATGGATTATGGGCAGCAGACATAGCAATTGTAATCGCTGATCTGATAAACAGCATAACGTGGCGACCTATGCTGACTCTAACATCAGACCATCCGCCCATAGTCATATGAAATGATACGAACCTACGTAAACTTTAGTAAAGCGCATTGGAACGGCTTCGCGGAAGTTACTGAAAGTACCTTCTATGTCCTTCCCAAACCAACCGACGTTTAAGTAAGTGAGCGTAAGTTCCGCAGGGTTGTCACTGCTGCTGCAGCCCGCTTCATTCCCGCCGGATGACTTTCGGACACCCGTCCGAATTTTCCAGCTGAAGCGGCTGACAGCCTTCGTCAGGCCGATCCAGGATGTCAACAGGGAGGTTCGGAAACTGGTGAATGTACACAAGCGGAAGAAGTGTGAGGAGAATCTGAAGTCTTGCAACTTCACCTCTGGTGTGAGTAAGCTTTAGTCAACCGTGAGGTCACTTTCCAATCCGATGAAGCCGGGGCGATGCGAACGATATTTTAGCCGACAGTTAACGCTGTATCCTCCGATGGGCAAATGCAAACGTGGAGTGACCAGAAGACTGCCCAAACTGCAAAACGCAATGCACCTCTTGCTTTCACCAGCAATGAGGTTCAGGTAGCCATCGGGAAGCGAAAGCCTCCAAAGTCATAGGACCCGATGGAACATGCATGCTGATGTTGAAAAACTTGTGTCCCGTAAGAGTAGATAATCTCACTAAGGTCCTGATACTGTCTAAGGCCACCCTCATCGTTCCAGATATCTGGAAAATGGCATCCATATGAACTGACGGAGGTTCATAAACCAAACTCTGGACCCGACAGTATACTGACAGGCCATAAACGGCACTCACACGGTGTCGGTCTCCAATTACACCGACTCTAGACCTGTGAAAGCCATTTTCGAAACAAAACCACCTGACGTAGATAAGAAAGACCTTCATCTGCCTCGGGAGACTCGCACCACCATAGCCCAACTTCGCTATGGCTACTGCAGCAGTATAAATTCTTACCTGAGCCGGTTAGATGCAGATGCCCAACTAGTGCCCTGCATGCGGAGAGTCACCGCATGACACGAGGTATCTCTTTGAATGCCCCCAAAGGCCCACTCAAGTAACACCCCTGTCCCCATGGTCCAACCCAGTGGGAGTTGCACACTTTCTTGGTCTCCTGTTAGTTAATCTTGACGACACCGATTGAGGGACAAGCCGATCTAGGAAGAATTGAGTAGTCGCTACAACATCAACAATTTCTTGGCCAAATATATTGGTAAATGAATAGTACCGAAATGGTCACATATTAGACCCAAATCTCTTCCATCACAAATCCAACACCAAATTTGCGCTCATTTATATGACAGCTGTGGTATACGTCGCAAAGAAACACGTGTTTTTGTCTTCCCCTATCCATCGCATTTCTTGGCTGGCGGTGATGTCAGTCTTTGTTTTCCCTACGCCATCAACCAACCGGGCAGAGGCACGTTCCCCAATACAAGGCGTTCGACACTGTAAGGCATTCAGCGCTGCTAGAAGACATAGAGACCTCTTCACTCCCACAGGGACTCAGACGGTGGTCGGCGAATTATCTGAACGGTCGATACTCGTCAGTACCTTTTAGGGACAAAACCATCAACTTCCGTTTAATTGTTATAATTCAAAGCTCCCTCAACGACCAGAGGGAGTCACTATTGTCTCTTATGCTGACGATTGCTCGATTATGACGTCTGGGAATGGAATTGGTGACTTCTGCTCGAAAGTAAACGGTTATCTCGCTTCTTCACTGCAAAAAGCCTTGCCCTATTCACCACCTGGACGAAGGAGGTCAGACTATAACTGGGTATTCACGTCGATGGCGTAACAATACCGACGGTGAATAACCCCAAAATCCTCGGGTCACCTACGACAGTCTGCTCTCCTTCTCGGCGCACACAACCGCAATTGTCAACAGAGAGCAGAGCCGCAACAATGTCCTCAAGTTGCCGGTCGGCAACACTTGGGTCGCCTGGGACTAGCAGGACGCAGTGGATGCCTTATTATGTCGCCCCAACACCACCTTCACGACGAGGCGCAGATGCTCCCAATCAAGGAGCATAACACAATGCTCTGCAAGCAGTTTCTTGTGGGGAGCCACAGACATGGTTATCAAAACAAACAACTGCTCGCAGAAGAGCCCTCGCCAGACGAAGTTCAGGGGTTCATTAAACAACCTCTGGACCCGTCAGCTTATCGACAGGCCCTGAGCGACATTCACAGGGAGTCGGTCTCAAGTTATGTAGACTCCCGCCCTGTGAATGCCGTTCTAGGCACACAGCCACCTGACGTGGACGGGGCAGAACTTTGTCTGCCTCGGGAGACCCGCACCACAATAGCCCAACTTCGCTCTGGCTATTCCAGCAGGCTAAACCCATATCTGAGCAGAATTAATGAGGATGTGCCCAACTAATTCCCGCCATGTAGAGAGTCGCCACAAGACTCACGGCACCTCTGAACGTGCCCCGCATCCAGCTAACGCCCCTGTCCTTATGGACAGACCTTGTCGAAGTCGCGCACTCTTGGGTCGCCCCTTAGCTGAAACGGACGACAACGTTGACGGATGAACCGATCCGAGCGGGGTATAGTAGCCACTACAACAACAACAACAACGGTCCCCAATAAGTGTGCGGATGTTTCAGGTGCATTCTCAGAAATATTAGTCCTTTAAGTCTTTGCCGTGGTCGTCATGCAAATAGGGGGTCTCATTTGAGGCTGAATTGTTCCTCTCATTAAAATTTGTTTTTACGTGGCGGGTCCCAAGCCCAGCGCACAACCTATTGTAGTGGGTTTGCTTTCTCACATTACCTCGCTTCCAAACGGGTGTTCGGTTGCTCAGATACTAATAGCGCGTATAAACACCGAAAGGTGCTTGAACTGAACTTAAAAAACGCTTTTCGGCTCTCCCTGGTGAATGGTGATCGAAACCGTACGTTATATTCATCGATTCAGTGCCAAATTTATGCCTTTTAGTCAGGAAATCTCCCAAGTAAATCGCACCGATTTCAAAGCTTACAATATTCAAAACATGCCTGAATAAATTCAATTTTATTTTTATAAGTTCAAAATTTAAATTCATAATGAAGCTTGGCAACCCGCCAAACATGAAAACTGCCTTCCAAACACTTCCAACGCTGGCGTATAATTAGCAACCCTGCCCATTTTCACTGTACAACAGCAACACTGGTTTGAAGTTTTTTTGTTGTGCGCAGGGATGCCGTTTGGATCTAAATAGATCCAATTGGATACATTTTTAGACGAATTTTTGTGGGATACTTATTTTTTCCGGTCAGTATAAATGTGGATACTTTTTTAAATAGGCCAAAATTTTATATTTCCTATAAAGTTTTTTTCGTTCAAAAATCAATTTTCAGTGAAGATGGTAGAAAGCATTACGTTTCCTAAACGTATTAAGAATCGCTACTTAAGCGTGAAATTAAAGCATTTTATTTTTTGTGAACGAAGCAATGAACATATGAATAGATCTCACCAAAATAGGTATAAGCGAAATTGTGTTAATTAGCTTAAAAGGATGCTTTAAGCAAGATCTTAATATAGGTACATATCGTCGCTTAAGGTACAAAACCGCGTATCAACAAAATGCAAAACCGCGTATCAAGATAATGCAAAACCGCGTATGTGACGTTGCATAAATTATTTTCTAAAGAGTAAAAACACTTATGTTTTAAAATGGTTCCCTTTTTTATAGAGCAATCGCATTTCTGGCTAGTATATTTCAGGACGAATGGATCAGGATTGAGCCAAGAGCTTGTGAGAGCAAATCCAATTTTTGGTAGCAAATGTCAGTTACGCGGTTTTGCAGAATGACAATACACGGTTTTGTACTTTAAACGACGATATATATAAAGTAAATTATACTCTTTCTGTAGTAATCTCTTTCATATCACATATTTTCATTTGTTAATTTAAAAAGAAAGAAGATTTCAATGTAGTTTAAAAAACTAAATTTGATTTATTTAAGGAAACTTGTATGAATTTTACTGAAAAGACTTTAAATACACCCTTAAAAAATTTTGTTTATTTGCGCATATTAAGAGAGGTAACCAGTTTCCTCTTTTAATGTGTGCAAATTTGCACGCCGTGTAATAAAATTAATCATTGCCTGTTTACTTTTTCATACCAAATTTTTCGCAAAGAGCAAAATTACACATAAAATGTTTAAAATAAAGTAATGTTTATTATTAGTAGGAAATGTATTTGTAGTTTGAAAATGTTTGCAATTTTAAACATTCTATATACGTATATTTATGTGTATATTTTAATGATCTAAAGTTCAAAATCAAATACTGAACATCTCATACGTACAGATTCTTGTTGAAAAATAGATACTTTTCAGTAGTAGTTTTACATGCTCTTTTTATACCATGTCCTCACCGGAGCTAACCACGTAGTTATGGCTATTGAGTTGGTTATCCCGGTAACCCACTTGATTTAGCGTAGTTTCGCCATATAAAAATGACAGCACTTAACCATTTTACTGAGATGGTTAAAAGCTAACCAACTCGAAACCACGTCGAAAGTCTGATACAACCCTGTGTTTTCCCGCCATCTGTGGGTCATTAGCGTTAAAATGTAAAGAATTCGTTCCCTACTATTGCTTGGACTCAGCTAAAATCAGATTAGATTTACTCCGGTTTTTAAAAATATTTGAAATCAAGTCCTCTACTCCGCTTGACTTCAAATCAATTCCGTTTTTTTCATTCATGTTATGTTCATCGCCAGGAGCACCACCAGTACCCTCTACCCTCAGCTCCTTCATCGCCAGGAGCACCATGAGTACCTTCCGCCCTCAGCACTTCAAAGTGTAGGTCCAACTTGTCAAATTTTGCAAAGTTGTAAGAAAACTTAATTTATTTGCAACTGTTAATATATATCAAAAGAAAGGTAAACCGATTACCTTTCTTTTGATTATAACACCGTTAAAATTGCTTTACGCTTTCATAAAAACTTTGCAACTTTTGTAAACAGCTATATATAAGCAGTGGAAAGGTGGTAAAATTTTGCAAAGTTGTAACAAAACTTAATTTTTCTGAACCACCATAAATTATTTGCAACTGTTAATATATATCAAAAGAAAGGTAAACCGATTACCTTTCTTTTGATTATAACACCGTTAAAAACGCTTTACGTTTTCATAAAAACCTTGCAACTTTTGTAAACAGCTATATATAAGCAGTGGAAAGGTGGTACAATTTTGCAAAGTTGTAACAAAACTTAATTTTTCTGAACCACCATAAATTATTTGCAACTGTTAATGTATATCAAAAGAAAGGTAAACCGATTACCTTTCTTTTGATTATAACACCGTTAAAATCGCTTTACGTTTTCATAAAAACTTTGCAACTTTTGTAAACAGCTATATATAAGCAGTGGAAAAATGGTAAAATTTTGCAAAGTTGTACCAAAACAGATTTTTTGTGAACTAGTGTAAATGATTTGCAACTGTTAATATATATCAAAACAAAGGTAAATCGATTACCTTTCTTTTACCAAAAGTGGTGAAAAATCTGGTGAAACCGCGGGTTTCGGTCACTTCAAAACTGGTGACATTTGTATGGGCGGTGTGCAGATTGTCAGCACTTTCCCCCTGTACGTGTGAGCCTTGCATCACTGTCGCACTCATTCAGATACTTCGTAAGGAAAACATATAGCTACACTCGTCTAGCATTGCCCCCTTCTGCCGGCTCAGGGTTGCATTCTCTTCACAGCGAATTCAAAATAACCTTAGAAACTTTAAATAAAAAATCCTAAAATATTCTGATTTTTATTTTGCAAAATTTATTTTCAAAATGCATAATATACATAGTTAATAACCAATATTATGAATAAAACTTGTAATTAACATTAATAAATATATTTTTACATACATACATGTGCGCTGGCTTAATTTCTTATTATTAGTATTACTCATTTGCACATAGATATTTAAAAAGTTGTAAAATTTCTATAACAAAGTAAAGCGATTTTAATTATATTATAATCAAAAGAAAGGTAATCGATTTATCTTTCTTTTGATATATATTAAAAGTTGCAAATCATTTATAATGGTTCACAAAAATTCAGTCTCATTACAACTTTGCAAAATTTGATTGCGTTTTTTCGACTTATATATAGACGGTTTCAAAAGTAGCAAAATTTCTATAAAAAAGTTAAGCGATTTTAACAATATTAAAATCAAAAGAAAGGTAATCGGTTTACCTTTCTTTTGATATATATTAACAGTTGCAAATCATTTGCACTAGTTCACAAAAAATCTGTTTTGTTGCAACTTTGCAAAATTTTACCACTTTTCCACTGCTTATATATAGCTGTTTACAAAAGTTGCAAAGTTTTTATGAAAACGTAAAGCAATTTTAACGGTGTTATAATCAAAAGAAAGGTAATCGGTTTACCTTTCTTTTGGTATATATTAACAGTTGCAAATCATTTATGGTGGTTCAGAAAAATTAAGTTTTCTTGCAACTTTGCAAAATTTGACAAGTTGGACCTACACTTTGAAGGTGCTCCTGGCGTTGAAGGTGCTGAGGGCGGAAGTTACTCACGGTGCTCCTGGCGATGAAGGAGCTGAGGGTAGAAGGTACTGGTGGTGCTCCTGGCGATGAAGAAGCTGAGTGCAGAAGGTTCTAATGGTGCTCCTGGCGATGAAGATGCAAGCGTTGAAGGTGCTGATAGTGAATCTGTAAACAAGCAAAAATATCAATTAAAATTTATAAACATAAAACGTCTCAATACATACCTTAAGAATGTGACTAAGTCGCCGCTGTTTTGCAATCTAAAATAAGAAATTACATTATAATTAAATAAAATTGTTAAATACGTATTCTTACCTTCAAAATTTTCGTAGTGACATTTCTTCACAGTATAGGTGCAATCCCGTATTCCTCGGACTCTGGACTAGTAGTAAAACTGTCAAAAAATAAAAATTCGCTCAGAGCGAGAGAGTAACATTGAAAAGTACGGGATCGCTTTCTAGTAAAAAATGGTAACTTCTGTCAACTTCAACATAACCTCCAAATTTTGGTTGTAAATTTTTGTTTATTTTGTATGTAAACACACTTAGCTCACATATGTAAATAACCAAAAATACTTTCAAATTCATTAGAATCCACTTAAACAAGTAATTAAATACTTTTCAACATGAATTAGCAGAGTGCACTTTTCTTTTGTTTACAATTTAGTTGCCAAACACACTACAGCTGATCGTTTGACACATTTACCAGAATTTACCAGCAAAAAATTCTCGGACTAAAACTGGTAACTTCTGACAGAGAGAGAACCGTATTTACTCTCTTTTTTGTCCTCTCAATAGTCAGAGAACTGAGTACGGGATCGATTTCCAGTAAATTCTGACTGATTCTGACTAGTCCGGACTCGTACGGGATCGCAACTTATGTATGTATACTGTCATCAAAACTCTGATGTTTCTAACTTGCTCGCTCTAACGCATAGAATTCTTGTTAGAGTACGAATTCTTATCGGGTATGTCAACTTTTTTCCTTAATGCGATTCTACTGCGGCTACTCTCCTGCCCGCGTGATCTTGTCTTTTTGGTTCATGGTGAGCCGTGGCTGGCAGGGATGCTTGCTTTGCAAAATACTTATGCACAAAAAATGTACTTTATAAATTGAAATTACAAATGTTTGATTTTATGAATATGTATTCCAAGTCCTTAGTATGGATTAAATTATGTCTTTTTCGTGAAAATGTTTGGTTTTCTTACAAATTATGAGATGTATATGTAAAAAAAGAAAATTGGATACATTTGGACACATTTTTGGCTTGGTCAGTGATACATTTTCTTGAGACGGCGCGGCAACACTGGTTGTGCGTCATTCTTCCTTTGCTTTGTGGATTTCATTTTTGCATGCGCTTCAATTTTGTTTCTCGAGTTTTCGCGGCATAAATTCGTCACCGACAAAAATAAACTACATTCTTAGCATAAAAAGATAATACGAAATGGCTGGAACTTCACAAAAATATAGAAACTTTGTTGCCGAGCCGATGGGCAACAAATCTGTGACAGAATTAGCTGGCATTGG